CGTAAATTTAGAAAAATAAAGAAACTCGAGCACGGACACACGAGGATGTAGTGAGCACGTGTCAAAACAAAATTTTCACACAAAAACTGATACAAAAAACAAGTTTAAAGCAAAAAAATCGAAGTTAAAAAGTAATTTTTTAGTCATTTTGACTTGTTTTGCTAAATTATTCAAAACTGTGTGGAGAAAAGAACTTTTAATTAATACATTTTATTCGCAATTTATGCCCTAATTAAATATTGACATAATTATTTAACTATCTTTTATAGTTTTTCCAAAAATCGCAAAAAACTAATTTTTTTCTGATTTTTCCTTCATTTTTCTAACAAAATCTTTAATTTTTTCGATTTCTACCAGCTCCAAATAACTGAAAGATGATTTTCTTGATAATTTTTTAACACCCAAACAAATAATAATCATTTAATAATTAATTAAATCTCCAATAAATTTCCTTTCCCAATAATAACCTCCTCATTATTATAAAACTTTGCAATTTCAAGGTACACTTTTTCCTCTCTTTCTCTCTCTCAAAAAAAACCACCATGAACAGAATTTTCTGCTTAATTAAACTTTGTAATTATAACGTTTAAACAACACAAAAAGCTCGTGCCTGAAGTCATCTCGCAAGGCGACAAAAAATCGTTTGTATTTTTTGCGTGCGCGTTGCGGTGACGACAAAAACACCTTGGAACATTACCCGAAACCAAACAAGAAAAAAATTATTCCAGCGAGCATAAAAAACGTGTGTTTGTTCTGTTCTCATATTAAAAATTCCTAGGCGACTACAAACTATGACTCGTCTGATTTTTTCTCTGTATGTGTGTGTTCATGATGTTCATGTACTCATAACTATTTTTTCCGTGTGCCGTCCTATTATTTTTGGCTTTACCCTTTTTTTCTCACGATACACCTAGCGTACCCCAGCGCAATCTATATCTCATTTGTCTCTGCATAAATGGACGCACGAACGTCTTTTGTCCTCGCTGCTTACATACATCTGCATAAATTAGTGAAATTTACATGCGGAGATCATTAGGCGCGAGACGTGACCGACTACCCCTTTCGCGGATGGCGGGGATGATTTCGGATGGGCCCGTAACTGAATATGCACCACCGTGAATGGCGCCCGAATGGAGTGAAACGTGATCGACAAACATTTGAGGGTATTTTCGGCGTGGAGCGTGGAGATTCCGGAAGAGAAAAGGCGGCGAGGACAATGCGGGAAACAAACACGGATATGCAAAACCTAATGAATTGAATAGACATCGTAAAAGGAGGAATTAAAATTAACGATTTTTTAAGTGTATGAGAAAAAATTTCTGGGGTGTAGTGACTAGTCATTGCAAGCTGCTTTTTAAACTGTTCTAGAGAAGTGAAAAAGCAAGTTATGGTAATTTTTTAAACGCACAATTATTAAGAATTTAATTTTTTATCATATGAAAAAATATTTTTTTATAAATAAATAAAAATTGTGCTTGTAAATAAAAAATAACCAAAATAATCCATTTTTTGATAAATTTTTAGTTTTTAGCTTAAAAATTCAACTTTTTATGTAAAATTTTGTAATTTTTTCAATAAGATCAATACACAATTTAATAATAAAGCAAATAATATTAAATTTGTTTAAATTTCTCCATAAGTTTATGATTACTCATTAAAAACAAATAAAAAAACTTTCTAAAACACCTAAAAATTGAAAATTAACGTTTAACCCCTCAAAACTACCCTTTAACATAAAAATTATACAAAATAGTAACTGTGGGCTTAGAAATAATTTAATTGTTAATACTTTTGCAATTTTTTTCTCTCCTATCATCATTAATTATCCTAAAATGATGTAAAAATTACAAAAAAAATCAATTTTTCGTAATTCTTTGGCATATTAGCCTAAAAATGTAATTTCCTGTTTAAAATTTTATAGTTTTTTAAATAATATCAATAAACAATTTAATTATAATGACAACAACACAAAAATTGTTAAAATATTTCTTAGAGTTTATAAATAATCAATAAAAACAAATTAAGAAAACTTTTATATAGAGTAACATACAAAATTTCAATTTTAACACCCCAAAACTACCCTTAAAAATAATATTTATGTAAAATAATAACTATTGGCTTATAAACAATTTATTTGTTAATACTTCTACAAACTTTCTCATCCCTATCATGATTAATTATCCTAAAATCTTAAAATTACCATTTTGAAAATTTCTCACACATTTCTTCATCAATATTAATTTATTTAAATATTACGCACAAGAAGCTACTGTCCTCCACCCATTTAGCCCCATTTGACGTGCTGATTAATGACACACGCAATTGAGATATAACATCCCAAAATCAATCATCGATCAATCGGAAAACCGAGACGTAAAATGAGACATTACTCAATCGTAGCAAGGTAAAAAGTCAAAGTCAAAGTAGACCTGCAATTCATAAACACGAAACAGGGTTGTTTGCCGCTTTCTTCCCTTTGTCACATTCACGCATATTGCTGTTTTGGCCCACATCTATTTATACTAATCGATTGCGATCTGTATTGACGCATTGATCACATTCAACGCAACCAAAACAGAAGCGTGTGTGAGTGTAACGAGGGCATTTGTTAAGCTAGGTACAGATGGATACGAGATAGAGGTTTAGAGGTAGAGGTAGGTAGAGAGATAGAGGTAAAAGGGTTGTCAAAATTTTACCTAGGGTGTTGTATTGGTGTATTGGTGCAAGCCGCAAATCTTTTGTGGAGCGTTGCTATTAGTATTGAGAAATTTCTATATCCTATTCGATTTCGTTCGATTGCAGGCATAACAGTGCGATAGGATAATGGAAATGTGGAGTAACACAATCCGATCACTGACTAATCGATATCATCGGCTTGTCAATGAGGAGAATAGTACAATGTTAAAGGAGAGGTATTAATAAGATGTAACAGTATATTATAAGTATAAGAAGTTGTCATTATCATTGGAATCAATATACGATAAGTAGTAAAATATAATTTAGAAAAATTTAAGTTTCATGTTGAATTTAATTATGTTGTAATTAAGATATTTTAATGAAATTAGTTTTATGTTAAGAGGAAAGTATTTAAATATAATTTAATATTAAAATTGATAAAATATATTCATTTGTCTCTTTAAAATATTGAAAAAACTGACTAAATGTTCATTAAAATTCTAATTTTCATGAAATTGTTGTAATTTTAAGCTGTAAAAAATGGAAATTTGAATCAAATTGTTCAAATAAAATTTTTTAAAAGTTAAAATTTAATTTTCTTTAATTTAATACCAAATTTAATAAAATCCGTTCATTCACCCCTTAAAAATTCTCAAAAAACTAAAGAAAAAGACACCAAGACATATCTTCCTCAAGTTTTTAACGTTAAAACCATTTAGACCTAACAACCCTTAACAAATATCACTAAATCTATATTTATTTATGTAGAAAATTTAATTCTCTATAATTTATTGTCAAAATGAAGACAATCCAACTATTCATCCCTTAACAATTCCCAACAAAACAAAATAAAATAAAACAAGCTGCATTCTCATAGCTATACCACTTATGCTATGCATGCATCGGTATGATATGAGATACCAGATATAGAATATACATATGCACCCTTACGGTATGCAAATCGTCGGTCATTAATGCGCGATAGACAAACCGAAGATAGATTGCCCCATTCATCGAATCCGCGCACAAAAAGCCCTCTCCGTGAGAAACACTGGCGAAACACTGCCGCCTCTGTTCCTCATCCGCACCGAACAGAAAAAATTACGAGGATGAGAATCCTACCCTTAAAAAACATCCAAAACTAGGATGTAGGTATGCATAACCCACGGGGTGTGCAGTATGTGTGTATGTCTAGTGTGTGCAGTGCGTTGGAATTTTTTGTCTCCTCTCACTTTCGGGCCGCGACCCGAGTATGCAAATGACCTACCCCTGAACGACGCGCGCGCGAAGAAAAAGAACAAACGCACCCCTTTCACTGATTCAATTTTTTACTGCTGCAGTGTTTACCTTTCGCACGATATAGTTTTTTCGATAAGTTTCGAAAAAACGGAGTAAAAAGTGTAGAGAAACAGATGCGGATGAAAAAATAGAAAAAATAATATAATGTGTAATCATAACCCTTTTTCACGTAACGTATTTTTTAAAAAAGGAGCAAAAAATTCGTGCGTATTGTTAATATATTTCGTCGGTATATAAAAAAACAATAGTAGATGTAGAATAGAAAAAAATGTGAATTATGCACCGTGGAAAGTTGTAATTTAATTTATAATTGAATTATAATCAGTTTTTTGTTGGAATAACTGATTTTTTTTAGATTTTATCCGACGTAAAATTTTATCAGGTATCATATTCTATCAAATTTGATGAGTGAATCTTTGAAATATTCTTATAAAATACGAAAAATTGAAAAAAATAGAAATTTTTATATTTTGACTTTAAGGATAATTTAATCCTTGATCCAGTGATAAAAATAAATGTGAATTATTCATATTACACGCCATATTTAATACTCTTTAATTTAAAATATAATTTTAATAATTTTAAACTATTTTCATCAAAGAAATCTTAAAAAAACTAAATAAAATCAAAAAATTTTGTGCAAAAATTGGAATTTAATCTGTGATTAAATTAAAATCTGTTATTTGATAAAATAACGCAATTCAAAATTTGTTTAAACAATATAACCATTGTAAAATTCAAATATTACTCATATTATAAAAAAATTAATACGTTTTTCTTAGAAAATCCCGAAAAACTTCAAAAAAACTTTAAGAAAACACATTTTTTCAAATATTTACTTTAAGGACAATTTAATCCTTGATCCCTTAAAATAATTAAATATTCCTCAATTCTATTCAACTTGAAATTTAATTCCCTTTAATTTGATATATAATACACCTAGTTAAAAATCATTTCAACCCCTGAAATCTTCCAAAAACAAAAAAATCGCAAAAGTTAGTTCTGAAAGTTAAAGACCCACTGACCTCTTGATTGAAGGACATGTAGTGCTGTACGGCAGGGTCCATGTGCTCGGCCATCACGCTCATCCAATGCACGAAGCCCTGCGCGCCCTGCGTGCCGCCAACAGCCGCCTGCGGTCCGGCGGGTGCGCCACCCCCTTGTCCTCCATCCCATCCGAAAGCTTTCTGCAATTAAAAACAAAATCAAAAATTAATATTTTCCCCAAAATTTTCACTACAACCACACACAAACTCATCAAAAATAAATTTCACCTGGTCAAAATCCCTGGACTCTTTAAACAACATATTTTTATAAACATTACTTTTATCATCGTTGCTCTGCTGTAGGACAGCTTTCGCGAGCAGAGTCTTATAGAATTGTGTGGGTAATAAGAGTTGATTATTATTATACGAGTCCAACTTGTTGACGAAATTGTCGAAATTGTTGCACTTGAATGCCGCCGCCGCGGAGGCGGCCGCCGTTGACGCATTGCAACTTTTGTACAAGTGATGCTGATGCGTGTCGTGATCGGGCAGCGGTAGGGTACAATTAGGAGGTTGATTAGGAGTGGTTGAATCACCGCCACCGGCGCCTCCGCCACCGCCAGCGGGTGATCCGACGGACGCATCATCGCCGTTGTTTAGCGATGAGTCACTCGAGTCTGTACTGTCCAGTACGTCCGAGGGGTGGCTGCCACGCACCGCTGTCATGTTTAAATTCTCAAAATTTTAAATTTTCGCGTAAATTTACAAAAAATATCATTTTCATATTAGTTTTTGGTCTATTTGCTTTAAATTTTCAAGGACTAAATAAGGAACCGTTGAAATCGTTAGGAACTTTTGTTTGCTTGTTATTTCTTTGTTGTGTTTATTGTATAAATATATTTTTAGGAACTTTCTGTTTGTTTGCTTGTCTTTTTTTGCGGATTTAATTTAAGAAGGTGATTGCAGTGATGCAAATGAGTCATTAGAGCACCTTGTACGCGCCGCGCCGCGCGCCGCCACCGCCGACAGCGGGAGAGCAGTGGTGGTGGTTGGCTGCGCGCCGGTCGCACCGCCGCCACTTAAGGTAATTTAGTCACATGTAAGCGTCGAGTTAATTAGCGCGTTCTCGTTACGGCGCGCGCCGCGCACACTGACACACACCGCACACACACATACACGCCACATGGAGATAGCCGCACACGCGCAGACACACACATCGACACACACATAGACGCCGGGGGCGGCGTGTGCCGCCGTCGTTTGGGGCAGGAATGCAGTGCGGCGTCTTGAGCGAGCTCCGCTGTCTCGGATGCACTTAGTTCCCGAGCGTGCCGCCAACTGAAGACGGGCGCCGCCGTCCCCGCGAAGAACTGGGTTATGCGGAAGTAAGAAAGCAAAAAGGAGCGCTCGCCGCCGCCGCCTCGCCGCCGTTCGCGGGGGATATGTGTGTACACATACTCCTTCCACACGCGCTGCATTTTTCTTCGTGCATGCAGCGAAGACGACGGGAAGGAGAAAAAATAATACGGAAAAAAGCGCGGCGAGCGGGGGCGGCGGAGGCGGTGTGTGCGGATGGAGCGATGAAGAAAAAAAAGCCCGCATGTACTGGAAGATAGTATTGAGCGCCGCGGCATACACCGAGCCGAAAGAAGTTTAATATTGATTGGTTATTTCGTCATCGGTGCATTTCCGTTTTCTTCCAAGGGGGGCGCAAGGGGGCGGCGGAGGCGGTAGGGGACTTCCCACATGCGCGCCGCACACATGTGCAGCGCGCATGCAACGCGTGGGAGGCGGGGGCCGTCGGGAGTATAAAACCTATATTCGCCCAGCGCGCGCGCCACCCCCCCACATGTATATTTATTTTGTTTTATTGCGCTTCGGGTTTTTTTTTTTTGTTGTTGTTGGGGGGAGCGCTTTTTTTACATCTTCGTCTTGTTTGCCTTCCTTTGTTCCTGCGCTTTTCTTAGAAACTTGCTAGTTTGTATCGCTTTAGGAAAAAACGATGATTATTGAAATCATCAAAAAACACATTAAATTGTTTTGCGTATTATAAACAAAGTTATTAACATAGGATCTTGAAATAAAAACTAGCGGATAGATTAAGATCTGTAGTTTATATAAATAGTTTAATAAAGTATAAATTATTGTAGGTTAGGTTTTAATAGTGTGTCAAAGTTGCGTAATTTTTTAGAAAATTTCAAAACAACAATTTTTAATACTTAATTATTGCAAAAACTAAAAATCGCAAATGAAAAATATTAATGTGATTTGATAGATAATTAGTCAATTTATTAATTAAAACTTTTAAACCCCAAAATATTTCCAAAACCTCCGACTTATATCGCTTTAAAGTTACCCAAAAAGCGTAAAAACGCAAAATATCCAAAATTCAAAACAAAAAAACCAACAAAAACAAAAGAAATAATAAACAATATCCTAAAATTTTCTCATAATTCAATAAACAATTAATCCTTCCTTCCAACACACCAATCAAAACTAATTTATCTTCCTCCATCTTGAAGTTACAACACTTTAAAGTTGCCGCATTTTCCCCGGCATTTAAATCTACAACGCCAATTAACACGCAGTTAATTGTCCGTAAGCGTTAACAAGACACATCCGGAGGATGCTAATGGCGCGATCAAAGGTGTCTCATCCTTACCCCGCTCATTCCCGACGCATACGCTCGTGTTAAGTCGGTTTTACCGCACACGAAGTGCAAGTACAAGTGCAAGTGCAATTCAGTCCACGCCCCGCATCCGTTTCGTCCTCGCCGCCAGGACTCAACTCTATGATGCACCCGACTCACCGTATTATCCTTGTTTTACTTTCAAAACATTGAAAGGAATCGCCACTCGCGCCGCGGTTGAAAAAGGACGTTAGGAGAGGAATTAAGAACGGAGAAGGATGCGGAAAAACGTGCGGCTGCCACTTAAATTTATAGCTTGCAAATGATCTCACTTCCCGCTTCGCACGTACCTATTATCCTGTGAGTGAAATCACGTGACAGTGTGAGTTCATTCATTAAGTCATTCATGACTTTTACAACGCTGTTCTAACCTTAATTCCAAAATTTTTGTTGTATTTTTTTGGATAAAATTATATTATCTTTATTTTATTTAGTTTATTTATATTTAAAAGTTATTTAAAGTCTCGCGGCGTTATTCCGGCCGTAATTTGACGTTTTACGACCTTTGCGCTCCTTATCCCTCCTTATTGCACTCTCTTTCTAGCCTGTATCTTAGGTTCCTCGTCCTGCGCGCGTTTTAAATAAAAAATGTTTATTTTTTATTGGCTCGCCGCCGCCGTTGCCGGCGCGTTCCAGTTATGCACTTCGGCGTGTGCATGGTGGGGGCGGCAAGGAGGCGGACGTCGAATGCACACACGTGTCCTATACGCAGGTCGCAATGTTACAACCACCATCAGGAACATAATAAATATTTCAAGCACAAAAATATTCATTATCATTTTTCGCGAAATATATTCAGTTGCATTCTTGAGTTTTGAGTTTTTGTGACTGACACAAAATTTTCTTTATATTTTTGGTCCTTTTAAGCAAGGCAGGATATTCGCTGGGATAAAAAAGAACGAAAAAGTTTATATTTTCTAGGAAAAACACATAAAAATACGGCGTATATGCACTTCGTTCCGTTGAGGGGGTGGCAACGGGCTGCGGGGATGTGCAGGAGATGCTAGTATGAGACGCTCCACGAGGGCGGAAAAGTGGAAAAACACATCGCAGGCTCCGTCGTGCGCGCTGGGTGTGCTGGGTGTAGTGTACACAGCGCGGCGCTCAACAGTTTTCTCAAGTTATCCACCCCTATTTTCGATCTCGCTCGGTGCACCCTCGTGTTTTGCGTCAACCTATTTTCCTTTGCGTTTTCTTTCGCCTGCGCTCTTCTTTTATCGGCGATATGTTTTCTATTTTTCCTCGTTTTTGTTTTGTTCGTGTTGTTCGCTCCCATTTAAGGGTGGAATATTCTCCGCATCAGATGCACTTTATTTGCACATTTTTATATTATTTATACGAACCTGCATCAACTTTATATATTCCTCGAAGAATCCTTAGGAAATTTGGGCGGAAAAAATACTTCTTGGAAATGTTCTTATTTTAATTAAGTATCAACACTTTTACGGGATGATAAAAGATTAAACTGATTTGAATTTCAAAATTTTTTTAAAATAAATAAATAAATAATTTTAAATTAATAAGAGCTGAATATGGTAAAATTAAGTAAAGCATTAAATTTAACAAAAATAATACCTTTGAAATTATTTTGTAACATTTACTGTTTCCAAAATAAAATAATAACTAATTTACGTTAAACCTAACGACGAAATTGGGCAAATTTTGTGGTTTTGCAATTTTGCGTTAATTTTAAAGCTTTATAAATCAGAAGTTTTGGAAATATTTTGAAATTTTAAAGTTTTAATTAGTAGATGGACTAATTATCTATCAAATGACATTAATATTATTTGTTTACGATTTTTATTTTTTGCAATAATTGAATTTTAAAAATTGATCTTTTGAAGTTTTTCCAAAAATTACGCAACTTTGACGCTTTGTAAAAACCTAACCTACAATAAGTTTCACTTTAGTAACACCTTTATAAAAACAACAAACCTATACCTATTAGACAGTTCTTATTTGATAACTCTATGTTTATAACTTAGTTTATAACACGCAAAATAATTTAATGTGTTTTTATCAAATTTCAATAATCAACTTCCTTTAAACCGATAGAAACTTGCAAGTTTAATACAAAAGCGCAGAAAACAATTAAACAAAACACTTAATATAGGTTAAACCTTAGGTTATATTTATATTGAAGGATTTGGAGGTTAAGTTTGGTTATGTTACAACTTTTTTTTTCAAATCGCAATATCTCCGAAACTAATTATCACACGAAAAGAATCTAAAAACCAAATTTACTTTAAATTTCCATACCAACACAACCAAGACAAACAACCCCCCTAATCATCCCTTCATCCCTTAATATTTAAACAACCCTTTGACATGTACCTAATTTTTTTAGATTTTAAAGCATAAAATTATTCCAAATTTTCCTAAATAAAACGTTATCCTTTGTCCAAAAATAACAAAACCAGTCAAAAACACCCCTGAAAAAACTAGAATAATAACCGGTTCATCTTTCCACGATTTCCTTTTGGAAAAAAACTTTCAAAGCTTATATAAATACGTCGCCCGTGTATTTCGCGTGTCGTACAAATCATTTAGCGTGTTAAACGCGCAACCAGGTATGGAGTATGATGTTTGTACAATAATTTTTTTCGTCGTGCCTATTTTTTGCTAGTTGTTATTCGGCGAATCGAAAATTCGGCGCGTTTTTGCTTCCTTTGCGCTGGCTTTTCGCGCGTTTCGCTGCCGCCGCCACCGCCGGAGAAGGGGTGGGTGGTGGAACACGTGTTGCTCTTTTTGCCGCCGATTTCATTTCTCATGTTGCCTGAATTTGGCCAACTTTTACATCAAAAATATTTGTTTCTGTCTTGTTTTAAAAAGTTTATAATTTTTTCATGTTTAAATTAAATATTTTTACTAATAAGTGTTAAAAATTAATTTTTAATTGTTAAGAATTTTCGCGTTAGGGGTTTGTATAGTCGGGGGCAGGTTGCGGGGGTGAAAGGTAACAGAGGGGCGGCCGCGCACAAATTTTTTTGTTGTTTTCGAGGCTCACGTTTCGTTTTTCGGCGCGGGCCTGCCGCCGGCCTCGTCTGCCCTGCTTCAGCCGCCTCCGCCGCCGCCTCCACCTCCACCTCCGTTCACAACTCTCGAAAAAAAGAGTTTTCGGGCGATATTCGGGTACAACATACTCATGAAACACATCTACATTGAATTACGTGTACGTGTAAACTGGGGGCGGCTTGTGTGTCGTGGTGCACGCCGCACGTCCGCGCACACAGCGCAGGAAAAAATCTAAAAAAGCCCCGAACAACGCGAAATAAAAGCACGTGAAAAAATGTAAAAAAAGCATGTGGGACGCGCACCCCGCTACCCACCCTCACCCCACTCCCTCGGGGTATTGAAGGGGTGAGCGGCGGTGTGGTGGCCGTCGTACGCGTCGAGTATATTCGGCACAACACTCACACGAATACAGACGTAACACACAACGGGGGTGGATCGATAGCGCTCGGCTAGACACGACGTAGACGCGACGCCGAGCGGACTCAAGACACCGCCGCCGCCGCCTCCAGTCGCCTCCGGACCTTCCACAAACTCACACTAAGCCAAACACGCACATGCAAATCCCACCGGGGGTTTAAGTACCCCACACCCGCGTCAACCGATAAGGTTGTGTTGGCAATTTGGAAGAAACATAA